TTTGGCCATCTGTAGGTCTCTGGTTAATTTTTCATTGAGCATTTTATTTGTATATGTAGCAGGTATTTAAAGGTGAGTCCCCAATCCTAACATAATTTATGTTATACTCAAAGTATGTTGAGGCCAAAATACTGTATGAGTCAAATATATCATTCTGTATGAATACTTACCTTCTGTATTCTATCACGGATTTTAATCCTACAAATGAAGGAGTCCTGTGTAAAAATAACAAACACTAGTTATGGGTTTTAGGCATAATAAATAACAATGGTTTGATATAATAAGAATTCCTTAAATATATGGCCAATTATATGACCCTGAGGAAGTCTCTGAACCTCTAAACCTGTTACCTTCTCCGCAAAATTCAGAGGCATGCAATAAATGGTTGCTGCTGAAGTTATTGATTATTTTTATTTGCATAATTATGGTAATTTTCATTCTCAAAGCACTTTTACATTCATTAGTAATTCATCCAACAAATATTCACAGAGGGTTTACCAAATGCCAGGCACTGTGCCAGGTGTTGGGCAAACTAGTGAGCAAAGGAAACCGCGTCAGAGTGAAGTGAACATGCTCAGAGTCGTGGGGAGGTAGTTTTTAATATGGAAACTGTCCCAAGGGCCACCCGGAACGGTGCAGGGTTAGTGGACACTGACGTCACTCGTGGGCCATACCCTGGAACTGGGACTTCACTTCCGTTTATCACGCTAGAGCCTCAGAGCAAACTCCTAGGGTAGGCTGGGCACGTGTGATCACCCGCACTTGACAGATGAGGAACTTCCACAGTCGGAAAGCTCAGCTTGAACCCTCCCACCCCTGCCACGGCCACCGCTGGATGACCGGAGCAGGGTCTCTCTCCTCAAACAGGGAAGGAGGACCTGCTGAGCCAACGCGACTATGAGTCGGCCTCGCTGCAGGAGGTGCGGGCGTTGCTGCGGCGCCACGGGGCCTTGGAGAGCGACCTGGCGGCGCATCAGGACCGCGTGGAGCACATCGCAGCGCTGGCCCAGGAGCTCAAGTAGGCGTGACCCACGCCCTCCCCAGCGACCCTCCCAACAGCGCTCCCACCCGGCCTCGTCTCCTGCCTCTCCCCGTTGCCACTTGCTCCGCCCCTCCTCCCGAACCACGACCCCATCTCCGGACCCCACTCTGCTGCCCACACTCTTCTCACTGGCGCTTAGCCTTGTGCATCCTCGTGGCCTCCCGCTAATCTGGACGTTCCGTTCAACTCCGTCCGGTCTGCTACCCCAAATCCTCTCCATCAGCCTTGGCCTCCCTGGCTCCTCCTGGCATAATCCCGCCTCCGAAATGCTAGGTCCTGCCCTGCCATCCAAGCTCCTTGAGGGACGAGCTGAGTATCAGCAGGTCCCCATTTCCCCCAGGAACACGCTGGGAACCCCCAACCCCACCCCAGGAGGGCAGTGAGGAGGAAATTTGGGCTGTGGTCAGGCCCCACCTTTGCCCTGCTTCTCACCCCAGTGAGCTGGACTACCATGATGCAGCCTCGGTGAACAGCCGCTGCCAGGCCATCTGTGACCAGTGGGACAATCTGGGCATGCTGACCCAGAAGAGGCGGGATGCGCTGGAGGTGGGTTCGGGGGCCCAGGAGCTGGGACTGGAGACGGGAGGCAGGGGAGGGGCCTGTGGGTCAGGCTGCCGACTCAGCCATCCCCTCGGCCCTTAGCGGACGGAGAAGCTCCTGGAGACCGTAGACCAGCTGCAGCTCGAGTTTGCCCGGCGGGCAGCGCCCTTCAACAATTGGCTGGATGGTGCTGTGGAGGACCTGCAAGACGTGTGGCTGGTGCACTCGGTGGATGAGACCCAGGTGGACATGGGGATTCAGGGTGGGGGAGCTGCCTGGGATGGCAGGGGACCTGGCTTACATTGGCCCCAAATCCTGTGAGCTACTGCTCTGGGCTCCTGGAGACTGGGATGGGAGGAAAACCCCAGCGGCCAGCACTGTCTGGGAGACAGGCAGCCCCTGCTGTGGGCCAGCTGGATGGCCTGGAGCACCCTGCTGCCCATCCCGTTGCCTGCGGGAAGTGGGGGTGCTGGCTGATGCTTCCTCCCTGTCACTCCCAGAGCCTGTCAACAGCACAGGAGCAGTTCAAGGCGACATTGCCTGAGGCTGACAGAGAGCGAGGCGCCATCCTAGGCATCCAGGGTGAGATCCAGAAGATTTGCCAAACCTATGGGCTGCAGCCCAGCTCTGCCAACCCTTACGTCAACCTGAGCCCACAGGACATCAACACCAAATGGGACACGGTCAGTGTTGCCAGTGGCCTCTGCCTGCCTCCCACCCACTCCTGTGCACTGTAACCACCCTGAACCCTCAGGCATCGCAAGACAATGGAGAATCAAGTCTGTCTTCTGATCTGGGGCTTGCCACAGATGCTGGGTGCCAGTGTATGAGTCACCCTGCCTGTCTCGGCCTCATCAGTAAAATGGCCATAACAGCAGCATTCTCCTATCAGGCCTGACATGAAGAATTAAATCTGGTGTGGCTATCTCTATAAAACAACCTGTCACAAATGACATCCTCAACCCCATTTTAGACAAGGGAACAAGCCTAGAGAGGCTGAGTGACTTGCCCAAGAGCTTGTCCACAGCCCTCACAGCTTGGCTCAGAGCAGCAGGAGCTGTTGGAAGGGTTGGGGCCCACCTCCCCTCAAAGTTTTCTCTTGGCCCTGAGCTGCCCCTGGTGAAACCACCCTCCTTTGCAGGTCCGAAAGCTGGTCCCTAGCCGTGACCAGAGCCTGCAGGAGGAGCTAGCCCGGCAGCAGCTGAATGAGAGACTCCGGCGACAGTTTGCGGTCCAGGCCAATGCTGTCGGGCCCTGGATCCAGGCAAAGGTGGAGGTAAGTCTTGGAGGGTGGACCAAGCTGGGGGAGTGGGACCAGGGCTGAGCACCCTCATCCTACCTGGTCCCCCGCAGGAGGTGGGGCGCCTGGCAGCAGGGATGGCCGGCTCTCTGGAGGAGCAGATGGCTGGGCTGCGGCAGCAAGAGCAGAATATCATTAACTACAAGAGCAACATCGACCGGCTGGAGGGAGACCACCAGCTGCTGCAGGAGAGCCTGGTGTTTGACAACAAGCACACCGTCTACAGCATGGAGGTGGGAGGTTGCACCTGCTTGGAAGAGGGGGAGGTGGCAATGGCTGGGGAAATGGGGTGGCCACAGCTGGACCTAGCACGTCTGCCCCAGGAGGGCCCCCAGTTCAGCTTGGCCAGGTCCCCTAGTTTACCCATGGGGATACTGAGACCCAGTGATAGAAAGTGATCTATCCAGAGTCACACAGCAAAATAAAGCCAGGACAGGATTGGCCATGGCTGGCTGATCAGTACTTAATACATAATAAATCATCAAACTTAAGGGCTGCTGGAGGTCACACAGTGGGACCTCCAGGTGGGGACAGAGGCCGATAAGGGGGAGGACTTGCCTAGGGTCACCCAGCAGATTAGGGATGGAGCCAGAGCTAGTGGCCAGGCACTGGCTGCACTCTGACTTGGCCTGTCTCCCACTCTCCCAGCACATCCGTGTGGGCTGGGAACAGCTGCTCACCTCCATCGCCTGCACCATCAATGAGGTGGAGAACCAGGTACTGACACGAGATGCCAAGGGCCTAAGCCAGGAGCAGCTCAATGAGTTCTGGGCATCCTTCAACCACTTTGATCGGGTCAGCAGGGGCCCACCCCTCTGGGGTGGTAAACTTGGGGGCTGGTGAGATTTAGGGACTGAGCGTGACATCCACTCACCCACCACAGAAGCGGAATGGGGTAATGGAGCCTGATGACTTCCGGGCCTGCCTCATCTCCATGGGCTACGACCTGGTGAGTAACCTCGACCTGTCCCGGAGTCTCATCAGTGCCACTCTCCTACATATGGATCACCTAGTGTGTCCTCCCACCTTCATGTACGTGCTCTCATTTCCTGCCCACCACACCCACTGGGGCTGAGTAGAATTACCCTGTTTCACATAGGGGCAACCAAAGGCTCAGAGAGGTAAACTAACTCGCTAAAAGACACACATCTAGGATTTAGACCTACTTCTGTATGACTCTAAAGTCTGAGCTTGCAACATTTCAGAGAAACACTACAGAGAACCCCAGAAATCAGATCAGGACCAACAGGCAATAGGGGCACTGCCAAGAGCAGGCAGATTTCAGCCTAGCAGGAAGGACTTCCCTTAGCCGACTAAGGCTGCAGCAGATGGCCTATGGAGGGGACACCTGGTCAGTGGGGTTGTCAGTCCCAGGCTGGACATCCCCAGAAGGGGACGTTAGGAGACCTCCTGGCTTTAGCATCCACTGGCCTGGGACCCCGCTTCTATCCCTGCAGGGGGAAGTGGAGTTTGCTCGCATCATGACCATGGTGGACCCCAATGCAGCCGGAGTCGTAACCTTCCAGGCCTTCATCGATTTCATGACCCGAGAGACAGCCGAGACTGACACAGCTGAGCAAGTTGTGGCCTCCTTCAAGATCCTGGCAGGAGACAAGGTGAGTCCCTGATGGTGGAGAGGGCTGGTGGGCTAGGGCAGCGAAAAGGACCCATGGGCCCCCAACACTTCTTTTCCCATAGAACTACATCACCCCTGAGGAACTGCGGCGGGAGCTCCCCACTGAGCAGGCTGAGTACTGCATCTGCCGTATGGCCCCCTACAAGGGCTCCGGGGCTCCGGCTGGAGCCCTGGACTATGTGGCCTTCTCCAGTGCCCTCTATGCGGAGAGCAACCTCTGACCTCTGACCTCAAGCCCTGGGGTTCGCTACACAAGTTGGAGAGAGGATGCTCCCTCTAGCTGATCCTGTCCATCCCTTGGAGCAAGGGCCTCAGAGAAGGGCCAGCCAAGTGCTTCTGAATAATGATCCATCTGTGGGCCTCTATCTCCTTCTGGTTTCTGAAGCAGAAGCTGGGCCCTCAAGTTCCCAGGAAGGACCAGCTGCCTGGCCTTGACCCTCGCCACCCCTCCATCCCCTCAAGGACAGAGCATTCACACCATGCTGGGGCCTAGAACACCACTTTATTGCTGTTAGAAAGGTTGGTTGTAACAGTTTCTCTAGATGTAGAAGGGAACACTGCCCCCAAATCCAAGGAAATCCGAAAATTTATAGTATCAGACACAGGAAAGCCAGGGCACAAAGCCAGAGGTGCCCCCCTGCTCCTCACCCAACTCCAAGGTTCTTGCCCTAGCTCCAGCTGACAAGACACCATCCTTAACCCCCCGATCCTCCTGGCTACCACAGTTCAACAAAGGCACAGTTGGGGAACTTCCAGGTGGGAGTGGGGTGCAGAGGAATAGTCTGTGCCCCTAGCCCAGTGCCCTTTGCTCACCCTGAGATACCCGGTGCCTATCCCTCAGCCAGCTGTGCCTCTTGGACATGCAGGCTGGGGAAGGGCCTGCTCTGGTCAGCACCAGGTCCTGAGCTGGTGCTCCTCAGTTCACCACAGCCGAACTGGCCATGGTATTCACACCACAGGCCCCAGACCCACGATGCAGGTAGTAGTAACCCTGAGAGAGACGGGGCGTTGGTGAGGGCACTAGGGCAGGAACGTGCTGGAGGGCGAGGGGCCAGGCAGGCGAGACTCACCTCCTCGCCCCAGTCACTGCCCCAGCTGTTCTTGATGGCCCAGAATGGGGTGTCAGAGCCTGGGGAGTGGTGCGGAGGGCAGGGAGTCAGGGCCCCAAGCACTTTGCACTCTTCAAAATCTGCTGTGGGCCCGCTGTGTGATAGGTACTAGGGAGAGAGCAGCAAGCAAGGCAGGCCCACCTACCCCCTTCCAGGAGACCTGGTACGGCTCCAGGGTTTGAGGAAGACAGCCACCCACCCACCTCTAGCAGGTAGTTCATCTGTAACAGTTCAACCTCCCTGTCACAGCCACTGTGGGGCAGATAACCCTGCTGGGCCAGATAATCCTGCCTGGCCCTCTGCCTGAGGCAGGGGTGGGGACAGGCCTTCCCCTGGTCTCCCCCTCTAGAGGTCCGGAAGTGCTGTGGTTCAGCCCGTGACCTGGGGTCGAAGGGCAGAGTGGGGCCAGCAGAACTCACGGTTGCCGTAGCCCACGAGCAGCACGGCATGGTCAATGAACCAAGGGCTGCAGAGGGGCCGCAGTGGGTGGGAGATCCCACGGCGGTAGAACTGCAGCGGGGAAGAAGGAGTAGGGGGCTGACACCAGGAAGAGGCTGGGAGGAGTCGGTGAGACCTGGAGCAAGGGCTGGGGCCTCACCTGCATGCCAAAAGCATTGATGGCGACGGAGATGGGGCCGTTCTCCGCCAGCCAGGCTGCCAGCTCTGAGACAGGAGGGACGGTGTCGGGATCACCCAGGCCCCGGCCCCACCTAGCCTCTCCCCATCCTGTCCTCACTCACTCAGCTCATTCTGGGTCAGCTCCACTGAGTCATTGATGTAGACTCTGGCCTTCTTTGCAGAGAAGCTGCAGGTCTGCAAGTGGCCATGGTAGCTGTAGTCATCCTCTGTCTCCAGCCCTCCTAGGGGATGGGGGGTGGAGTGAGGGGTAGAGAAGAGAAGGACCCCAGTTTACCACACACTTGCCTTCTCCCAGCCAACAGCTGTGCTATGCCCCTTACACACGAGGTCTCGGTCCTCATCCATCCCAGGCCACAAGCCATGCCCTCTGAGAAACAGTGTCCTCCTACAAGTGACACAACTGAGACTTGGGTGGGGGTGCAATGGTGAGACATGGTGCAGAGATGGAAGTAACTCCCAGCTCTGAGTCCTCACCAGCCCCAGCATTCCTGAGACCCTTAACCGTGGCTTGCTTCTCCTGCTCCGACAGTCTGTCCCGAGCTGCCAGGCCCCCAGAGCAGTTTCTGTGCAGCCACCTCAGCTCCCCCTGCCCTTCATCCTCCTGTCCCTGCAGCTCACCCCTACACTGAATCGCCAGCTAGGTCAATACCTCCCCTCGAGGGGGAAGTGTGTTGCTCCCTGGTTCAGCAGCATTATACTGCTATGCACCCGCACTTTACACGTTTCCTCACTTGACACTCAAGGCAATCTCAGGAAGCCAGTAGACAAGGCAACTGAGGCTCAGAGAGAGCAGACCCGCCCAAGGTCTTTGGCCAGTAAGGGTCAGCGTTAAGACCTGAGCCCAGTTCACGTGATTCTCACACTCATGCACCCCCCTTGCAAAGTGGCTTCTTGTGGAGGGAGCAGTGGCTCTCACTGCCTGTTTTGACCCCATTAATCCATACCCAGAGTCTTTATGGCTGAGTAGGCGTTGGAGGGCAAGCCGCCCAGGCAGGCCTTGTCCACCGTGTCACAGTCCAAGAGCTCTAGGAGACAGAAGGCTGGTCCCAAGGAGCCCTCTGGAGGGGCTGGGCTGGGGACAAGGGGGCAGAGCAGGATGCTCACCCTGCTCCGAGAGGGAGAGCAAGGCCCCCCGTTTCAGGAACCACTGGCCCTCCACGTTGCCCGTGACTGAGAAGGCCCAGCAGGAGCCACACATACCCTGCCGAGAGACGGGCAGAGTCAGGGCTGGGTCCCTTCCCAGCCCCAGTACACCTCCATGTCCCGCCCTCACTTCTTAGGGGCCTAACCTGGTCCTTGACTTTGGTGACAGCCCCCTTATTCCTCCAGTCCCACTCATGTGGGGCGGGGTCAAGAACGGCCTTGGCTAGGCGCATCTTCCTGCCTGGTTCCTCTTTCAGGAGGGGATTCAGGTAGAAGGTGCGGAATTCCTCCTCTGTGGGCAAAGGTGGGTACGGGATGGCACGGAAGAGTTTCCTAGGCCAGCCCTGACCAGGCCACTGGGCCTACTGTCCTAGGCCCACTCTGGCTACCACTCCTACCTGTGAGGTCACTGAATTTGGTGACCCCATATTGAGCTGTACCACGGTCCAGGGCCTGGATCTTCTGCGCTCGTATCACATTACTGGCAAACACGGACATGCGCCACTGGGCTTCTGAGGACCAAGGAGCAGAGGGGAAGGGCTCAGGCCCCAGGCAGATCATAAAAGGAGTGGTGGCTTGGGGCCAACCGGCAGAGCTTTCCCTGGGGACTAAGGGGGCTGTGGATCAGGGCTGAAGTTCTTCCCAAGGACAGAACCCTGTGGGGGCTGCGGCAGGGGCACCAGAGCTGCAGGTGATCAACTTTTACAATACAACTAGGGTGATGACTTCCCAGGTATGAAGGCAAAGCCGAAATGGTCTCCAAAGAGCATCTTCAGACAGGAGGTTGTGGGAAAAGGCTACCAGGCCAGGGGCCTCGGACAGAGGAAATCTGGCCTTTGCCCCATCCCACTCTGCTCAGAATGATGGTTTCTGACCAGGAAAATCAGATGGGAGAAGTGGCCAGTACCTGAGGTGGCTGCCCAGTCCTGGGAGGCTGAGCAAGAACTTGGGGACTTAGGGGTCCCTGAAAGGATGCACTGCTGGTGTCCTTCCCCACCCAACACGAAAGTGCCAAACTGGGAGGAAGATCTGACTGGGACAAGTACAACCAAGGCTGGTCCTCACCCTCTTTCGTCTCATATGTCCGGTTATATTTGGTGACAAATTCCTTGAAGGTGGAAACCATCCACACAGAAAGGTCCTAGAAGAACAGAGGGGTCTCTACATGGAGTCCTTCTCAGAGTGTCCAGGAGCCCCAGGCCAGGGTGAGGGGAATAGAGGGAAGCAGGCAGCAGCCAGCTCCACAGACAGAGGCGGGCTCCTCACCTGGGGCAGGGGAGCCTTGTTCGACAGTGGAAGGACAGAACTCAAAGTCTCACTTCTGTCATCTGGATAGGGTTGGAGCAGAGAAGAAATCAAGGCTGAATCTCATTCAGTCCAATCTGAACTCCCCCAGCTCCGAGGGGGCTGTCCCAGCACCTGTAACCTTGGTTTCCACTGGGCGGCAGTTCCGCCTCAGCAGCACGTGTTTTCCTAGCTCATTCAGGACTTCGAAGCTGCAGAGCTGGAGGGAGAGAAGGAAGCCAGAGTGGGGGCTGGGCAGGAGCAAGGCCTGGGCCAGATGGAGCTGGAGGGTCCTCGGGTGAGAGCCACCTCCAAGGCAGTTACCCCACTGTGGAGTGTGGCCCGGCCAGCACCCGGACACCCTCCTTTGCGGCATCCTGGTGTCTGGCCCTCAGAGCCTGGGAAGTGACTCAGGGTGGGGTAGCTGCCGCCTCAGATCTCTTCCTCAAGATCCTGACCCATCACTCACCAGGGTTTTCTTGGCCACTGGGAGCTGGCACACCGTGGGGTCGTTGCAGGGTGGCTCCTCCAGGGTCGCCTTCAGGGAGAACACCATCCCCCTGCCGGCCTGGGTGGAGGCGCGGGTGAGGCGGGCACAGCCATTCCCTCCTCAGCCCCACCTTGCCCCCTCCTCCTTCCCTATCGCCCGAGGATCATCTCTCAGGTGCCCAGCGTCCCCTGTCCCCAAGTCTAGGCCAAAGTTCCCATCCCTCGGTGGAGGGTCCTGCGCACCCCTCACCGGAGCGCCCCCGCCCCCGGCGCGTCCTCACCCGGCGTACGCGACCGCGCACGGATCCCAGCGCTGCCCGCGTCCCGGCAGCCCGACCGTGGTTGTACATCTCCAGGGCGTAGCGGGCGGGGCCCATTAACTCCGGGGACGCAGATACCCAGGCCTCATTGCTGGCTGCTGGGCTGGACTGGGCTGGGGCTGCGCCCGGGAGCAGCCACAGCAGCGCCAGCAGCTGCAGCCAGCGCGCCATGGCGAACGCGCACCGCCCGGACACACCGACCACCCGACTCGCTGACCGACCTACCGGGCAGAGCCGGAGCAGCCAGAGGGGCTGCGTCCCACCCACTACTCCTGCGGCGAGGCAGCGACCAATGGGCTCCGGCCGGGGGCGCCTGCGCATTTGTTTATTTACGCGACGCAAGTGGGGCACCCTGGCAGCGCAGGCGGTCCAGCCCTGCGGGGGCAGACGCAGCCTGACGCCAATTGGGTCTGTGCACTTGTGGCCAGAGCCGTAGCTTTGGACTATTCCTCTTAGGTCCCTATTCGGGGAGGGGAAAGGACGCTGGCCTGTGAATAAAAATAACATTTATTGCATGCGTATTATATATTGCACATTATATGCCATCTTCCTTTAATCGTCACAGTAATACTGTGTAGTATGTTATCCCCATTTTATAATTGAGGAAATTGAACTTTAGGAGATTAAGTGGTTTACCAAACATCTGATAAGTGAGAAGGCTGGACTTGAACCCAAAGAGGTGGCTTTAGAGTCTGGGTTCACAGCTCCATCTCCTCTTTGAGTCCCCCTTGTCTCATCAGCAGCAGAACAGATAATATGCCCTGGACTGGCAGTGCCTCAGGCTGTTGTGAGGATCAAATGCAAGCATGCGAGCATTCGATAACCACTAAAGCAAAGTGCACAGGGTTGGGCCTGTTTTGTTCAGTCAAGCTTCACCAGCTGCATTCCAGGGCCGGCCTAGCAGGAGAAGGCATGCACAGATACATGAGGCATAGTGCTCCCTGCCTGGGCCTCCCTGCCTGCGCAGTATGGGGTGAGGACCGAGGCAACACAGGAACTCTAGGAGCCTTAGGAGCCACATTAAGGACCTGGACTATCTTTTGTAAGAGGGACAAGGGGACCCCCAAAGAGCTTGCACTGGGGAGAGCACAGCAGGGAGAGAGAGCATCTGCTGGAGTCCCTCTGGCTCTCCCCTCTCAGATCTCAGATGGGAGCTCAGAGCTGGCTCTGGGCTGGCTCCAGCACTAATTTCTAAGTAGCTGTAAAATCACTCCACCTTTTTAGACCTCTGCTGTCATAAGAAGTTAGGTCTGAACTAGGTGATCTTTGATCAGTTCTCCCTGATCTCAGAGCCCAAACTAACCCTCACCCCTTTCTAGGATTTCCCCAATTTCAAGGGAAAGAGTTTAAGACCTGAGTGTTCAATGAAATAGCAGTTGCTTGCAGCTCATCCCCAGGTCCCAGGGTGAGGGGCTGATTTCACCCTCATTTGCCAACAGAGTTTGAGAAGGTCTACACCGTTTCCACTGAGGCAAATGCTGCCCCAACATATCTGGGAGGTAGTGCAACACCCAGGTCATGGCCAGATGGAACTGAGCTTTCTAGGCCAAGGTGGGGCAACAGCAAGGTCTCCTTCTGGGACTGCTCACTCCATTTATGAGAATGGCAGTTAACAACTTTATGGTCTGAATCCATTCCAGACCCCTCCAGCTCACCTTCTGACTTTCAAGAATGATGGACAACTTACAAACATTTTACCCAATAAGTGAGATGCTTCAGTTTTCTCAGCCTTGGTTTCCCCAGATAACAAACCTTCTGGAACTGGGAAACGGGAGGCAGTGAGAAGGGATTAGAAGAGATGGCAAAATTCACAGGTTTTAGAATCAGACTCACTGACCTGGGTTCTAATTTTGGTTCTGATCGTGTGGCTATGAGCAAGATCCTTCACCTCTCTGAGCCTTTTTCGTAGAAATAGGAAGACAGAAATGCACCTCATTTATCACATCAGTTCTAAGCTTGTAACAAACACATACACATACTTGCAGAGAGAGAGCTAAAGGAAGGATGGAGTGAGAAGTGGGGGCGGGAAGCCCAGATGTTTGGGAGAGCCCTGAGTGAGGGGAAAGCCAGAAAAGCAAAGCTTAGGCACCTGGGCTTTATCATACACCAGAGGTCTCCAAGGGAAATCTACTGCCCCTAGAAAATTGGATTTTGAAATTTGTAGGGGCATTTTTGATTACCACATTGCACATAACTGGTCCTTAGCAGACAAGAACCAGAGGTAGTAGACATCCCTCGATGTTTGGGACAGTCCCACATTAATGAGAATTGTCCTGCACAACTTACTAAAGCCCCATTGGTCATTTAACGTAAGCGGAAAAACCTGTCTGTAATTATCTGCACCAAGAACTCTAACTCTGCTACATATGTAAACATACAACATTATGTGTACAGTTTTAGTACACACTGAAATTTCCAGGAGTGTAAATCAGTAGTTTGTGACCTGGAATACATCTTTTCACCTCTCTGAGCTTCAACTTTCTTGTAGACTGCATGAGATCACTCTACCTGTCATATCTGATGCTTGAATGGTAGCTGCCAACATTATCATTATGTTAATCTATTCCTTTACAGCACAGGGATAATAACACCCTTTTATATTTCCTAATTCTTCAAACTCCATTGCCTAGCTCTCTCTTTCTTTTGAGGCTTTTGTCTCCCACCAAGCTCTAAGCTGTCCAAACACCTCAGTGACTTATTTAGTTCAAAAGAGCCAATAGTTGGGACTGGTTTCTGAGGGTGCTCGCTGTGGTCTGACGTCTGTCCATCAGACTGGAACTGGGTCTGGGGGTCCACTGCCGTTGTGACTTATGACTGCCACATGGTGGCGCTGTTGAGGTCTAGTCCTGGACGTTCCGAAAGTCCTGGCTAGTGGAAGAGGTTGGGCGGTGCCCTCCCACCTCCCGTTGGCCACTGTCCTCCAAAGCACAACCTCTTGGCCAGGGAGGCAGAGCCAGAGTCCGGCACCACTGGTGAAAATCAACCCTAATCTACATGCCCTACGTGCAGCTAGAAATTAAAACAGATCTTGCTTCTGAGCTTTATGCCACCTACTTGACGTTAACTCTTGGATCTCAAAACTTAGCCAGAACTGCATATCATGTCCATCCCCACCACACTTCAGGGATCCTCCCTCTCGTCATATGGCATCACCGCTCCCCTAGTTGTTCGGTCCAGAGACCTGAAGGGTCCTTGATTCCTTCCTTTCCTTCATGTCCCACATTTAAACTATCTTTAAGTGCTCTGGACTCCCACTCCCAGTATCTCCCAAATTCATCCACTTATCTTCACTCCCACGGCCACTGCTCATGGCCAAGCCACCACCCTTGCTTGCCTGACCAGATTTGCTTTTGCCTCCAATAATTTGCTCTCCATGCAACAGCCAGAGGAACCTCCTCAAACCTAAGCTGGACCAGGTGTAAGCTGTGATGCGCAGACCAGATCACCTCCAGAATGGACTGGGTGTCCCACTGCCATAGCCCCTCGGGGATTGCCTTGGCTGAAGAGTCATGACCCCTTCCCTAGGCAGCTGCACCAATGACAAATCTGAGGGACCCCCCCCAGCTTCTCATCTTCTTGCAGGGTCAGGGGAGGTGTCCACGGGTCTGCATGGCAGCTCAGCTTCCCCCTCTGCCCAGTCTTGCCTCCTTTGCTCTCTTTCCTGGGCGTTGATCCTAATAGCACCCACAGGCACACCTCCTGCCTACCAAACTCCAACCCAGAATCTGCTCCCCGGGAAGCCCACCCTAAGTGACACCCTGCACTTAGGATGAAATCCAAACTCCGTATCGTGGCCTGTAAGGCTGGCCATGGTCCAGCTGCTGCCCTCCTGTTTGAACTCACATTATGCCTCTCTCACTGTCCTCACTAGGCCCTGGCCACAGTGACCCCTTCATGTCCACCAGCTAAGCACTTACCTGTTTCAGGGTTTTGACTGTTCCCTCTGCTTGGAGAGAGACATCTGCTCTGTGAGAGTCAGGTTCCTTTCTTCAGTGCCATTTCTTCATAATAAGGGCCACCTTATCTAAGGGAGCCCCCCACACTCTATCTCAAAACATGTTATATATTCCAGAACATATCATACCATGTTCTAATTTTGCTTACTCTCACTGGATGTAAACTTCTGAAAACAGGGTCCTTGACTGTTTTATTCCCTTTGTCTCTATCCCTGATATGCCTGACCCTCAGGGCCATTTTCTACATCAGACACCATAGGCCTCTGAGCTTTCTAGGAGCTGTGAAAATGTTAGAGTCTGGGGGAAAAATTTTTATGAAGTCCAAAAATTTTTTATGTCAGAAATTGCCATATATTTAATTAAATGACTATAGAATAAAGTCATTTCATTGTCTTTTCTGTTAAATTTAATACTGATAAAAATTTTGGTACTACTGAGAAAGATTTGTGAGTTAGAATTTCTCAACCCAAGACCATCTGGGGTATATAGTTTGCTTAAAAGCATCACAGCAAATCATAATTTAAATAAGTTACGTGAAGTCAGAGAATTTTAAAAGCAAAACTACAAAATTCCTTTCAAACATTGTTGCAGCAAAATATTATTTAATGTGGACATGGGTGCATTTGATCAGATGTGATAAGATGTGGGTGGGGCCCCCCCAAAGTTTAAGGGACTAAAGTCAACAAGGGTCAAAAAATGACTCTGCCCTAACCCTTAGTGGGCTCGATCTAACATTTCTTGAATGATTGAATGGAAGGATGGATGGACGGAAATTCTGGGGCCCAGTCTTGAGCCCAGACTCCTTTCCTAGAGGTGAATTTATCTCGAGGGCTGGTCCACGTCCAGGTCTTTGTGACCGAATCATTAGGCCAAGGGTTAGGGTACTGACCTCCCCAATCCCAAGGGCTCCAAAGCTTCACACATAAATTGACCCACATACTCACTGCTTTGTACTGAAGATCTCAGGCTACAGCAAAAGATCCCTGTTACACCCTAATCCCAGAATGGCCCCAACTCACCTCACCATTGCATAATTCATGAGGAGTCACCAATAACAACAGCAACAATAATTCTCAGGAATGACCTTTTAATGTAGAAAGGTCATCTCCAGGTGATCCAAGGCCTTCTGGCCTAGAGGTAGGAAAGTCTGTCATCTTAAGACTTCCCTCCATGGAACCTGCTGAAATCTCTGTCTTAACAGCCAGCAAATTGTTGTTTTTCAGGGGTTTGGTCAAATGAAGTGCAGCAATTTAAAACCTGAAACTAGACCCAAGCCTAGGCTGATACCCCCACTGGTGGGGTGGGAGGAGTGGGAGGCAAGTGTGGGAGCCTGCAAGACAAGAGTTGCAAGAAACCAGTTTGCCCAAGAAAGCCCAGTGGTCTGGTG